AACCCAGGTCTCCCGCATTGCAGGCAGATTCTTTACCCCCTAAGCCACAAGGGAAGAAGCCCAAGAATGCTGGAATGGATAGCCTATCCCTTCTCCAGCAGATTTTCCTGACTGAGGACTTGAACCAGGGTCTGCTCCATTGCAAGTGTGAGCTAATTGTTATTTTAAAAATCTGTGTTTCTGCGTATAGAAGTGTCTGAGAAGATGTTCAAGAAAATATGTGATAGAGATTATTTTGTGGGGAGAAGATTATGGGTGGACTATAAAGAAAGTTGAGCACCGAAGAACTGATGCTTTTGAACTGTGGTGTTGGAGAAGACTCTTGAGAGTCCCTTGGACTACAAGGAGATCCAACCAGTCCATCCTAAAGATCTGTCCTGGGTGTTCATTGGAAGGACTGATGTTGAAGCTGAAACTCCAATACTTTGGCCACCTGATGTGAAGAGCTGACTCATTTGAAAAAAACCTGATGCTGGGAAAGATTGAGGGCAGGCTGAGAAGGGGACAACAGAGGATGAGATGGTTGGATGACATCACCAACTCGATGGACATGGGTTTGGGTGGACTCCAGGAGTTGGTGATGGACAGGGAAGCCTGGTGTGCTGCAGTTCATGGGGTCACAAAGAGTTGGACACGACTGAGCGACTGTACTGAACTGAACTGAGTTGATTATGGGTGATTGTCATTCTTTTTTTCTTTTGTGTAGAAAATGTCTAAAATTGCATATGTGTATATGCCAACTCTATATATGTTGATGATTAGCAGTCTGAGGCAGCCAGGGCTTTGACAGCCGAGAGGATATAGCACTCTATCCAGGAATTGATGTTGAGGAACTCAGAAGCTCCAACTAATTGAGCATGTCAAGAATAAAAGGGAATATTTGTTAATTGAATGTCATGTTATGTCCTCAGTCACACCTCATACAAGATAGGCAATTCAGAATTCTCAATTACCCGATTAAAATGCTAATTATCTCATACCTTGATAAGGCCACTCTCTCCGGGGGAGAAACAGTGGCCTCTCCCTGATGCTGCCCCGACCACAGCCATCCTTGCAACCGCCCTTGCCTCTAGCCGGCGGGTTCTCCTTTTCCAAGGTCTCTGCACCCCAGGGGCCTCTTCCAGAGCACCAGCTCCAGCTTTCCACTGGCCGTCCCTGGGGTTGGTGGGCCATGGGTCCTAGCAGACCCGTTCCCGCTCCGTCTGGGCTCCCTGCACAGAGTCCAGAGTCCAGAGCCCTGGAAGGCCCAGCACAGCATCACCCACCACTGGTGTTTGGGGAGCAGAGGGCCTTGTCCCGCCCAGGCAGCTGCTGTTCCAGCGCCCCCATCACTGACAGACCTGAGGTTTAGAGGCATCGGGGTCAGAAACCCTGCATGGACTCCAGGCTCACAGGACTCCTTCAAGAGGTTCTCTGTCCATAGCACATCACCATGCTGACCCGCAGTTTTCCTCATTGGCAAAGTTGGAAACCCTCTCCTCCCCCCGAAGGATGGTCGTAAACACCAAAGGCTACAGGAGGCTACTGGGTGTTTCTTGCTGTCTGGGCCTGTGCTGAATCATGGTGGGAAGGCAGCAGCGGCCCCAGTCTGTCCAGGGTTTGTCCTCTGTCCCTGGTGGTGCTGCATTGGTGCCAGGGCAGGTCTTAGCCTGCTGTTTGCTCTGTTATTGGAAGTTCTGGGGGGCTGCGTCTCAGCCTGCTGCTTGCAGTGTCTGACGGCTCCTGTGGACTGTTTTCAGATCCCGAGTTCCTCTCCAGTGCGTGTGTTGTGTATATGTACCTATGAGTGAGTATATATGTGGGTACATGTATTTACATGTATGTACACGTATGTCTGTACATGTGTCTCTCCTGCCTGGGTAGAGGTGCGGCCAACCAGTTTGGCTTTGTCGGTTTGGCTCCAGGTATCACCTGTCAGGGACTCAGTTTTTTGTTGATTTCCTGGCTTCAGGGTTTCCAAAACCATATAAGTCCTTCACCCTTGAACCTGAACCCCATGGAGGACAGACCTATGCTGCGAATTCTGAGGAAACCTTCACTGTTTTTTCCCAGGGCCCAGGAATACTTCTGCACTGCATCCTGTGATGCTGGTGAATTTTCTCCAAGTCTGTCCTTTAGTAGAGGGTGCATCCTTGCTCTGCCCCTGGTGTTATGTCAGGGGAGAGCTCAGTTCTGGCCCCCAACTCTGGTTGCCTGCGGTCTCCTTGCTGTCCCCATGTGGCAATGAATGCCAAGCCCTCCAGGCTCGCAAGACTGGCAGCTTCCTCTTCTGGCCTCACCTCCCTGCTTCTCCTATGGACATGGCTCTGCTTATCACCTTTAATCTTCAGCTCTGCAGGTTGGGGTTCAGAGGGTTTCTGGCCGCGGACTCTGCCTTCATCTCATCGTTGCTCTGGAGGGGCTCAGTGGTAGCTCACAGCCAAATTCAGCCGTGGACGTGTGTCATCAGTAGTCGGCCCCTCCGGTTACACAGCAGCTGGCCCCTCTTTGGCTCACAGTTTGCCGCCTTTTCGTAAAAATCGAGTGGGTCTTTACGGAGCGTCCTCCCATTGCCGCCTGGTCTGGGAGACATCCGTTGGGACTGAGGTGGCTCTGCTGCTGCTGCGATCTGTCCTCCAGACCCGTTCCGGGCCATTCAGGAGCCTCACGTCAAGCCTGTAGCCCCAGTTTGGAGCATCCTCGCACCCCCACCCCTTGAAAATCAGAAAAATGTTAAGACTTGGGGCCTGGGCCACAGCACTTGCCCCAGAATGTGTCCACAGCCCAGGGCCGAGGTCCTGGGGAGAGGGGTTCCCTGAGGAGTGTGAGCCAAAATAGGGCCCATTGTATCTGTTACGCCCCCGTTGCATCGGGTGGTTCTTGTGTCATGTCAGACAAGTTCACCTGAAACAGGATCAGGTGCTGAAGTTCAGTGTGAAGGACTGGAGCCCTTTTGCGGGAGACTGGATTTCCAGCATTGGTGTTTGCGGCTCTTCTTGCGGGTGTGGGATCGTGTGACTGGCAGAGGCAACCCTGGCTACAGTTAGCAGATGAAAACTGGGTCACCCTTCCTTAGTCTGGCACTTCCGTGAGCCATGCGTTTACTCTAAAAGGCTTTTCTTTACTTAAGTGGGAGCGATGTGTGCGATGAAGACTGTTTCTATTGAGTAGATTAGAGGGCAGGACAGTGCCCGCTGCTGAGACTGGGAGCAGGTTGGGGAGCCAGTGCTACCCCGTTCCCCCAGGCTGCTCTAGCGGTTCTGGCTTGTTCATCTGCCGCCCTTCTGCCTGTGCCCGTCTGCCCCCGTCACCCGGAGAGCAGCTGCTGCCCCCTGACCTGCTTCTGTCTGGGCAGGGCCTCGTCCCCCAAGGCTCAGGGGTGCAGCTGCACGGAGTCCTGGTGTCTGAGGCCCCAGTATCTGGGCAGGCCGTGTGGAGCCGGCGTGGGGCCCGGGCTTGGCCCAGTTGTCCTGTGGCCTCAGTAACTGAGGCTGAGGTCGGCGGCAGCTGCCTGAGCGCTCCCACTATGCCTGTGGGGGCGGCTCGTACCTCACACGGCTTTCCTCACCTCCCTGGCAGTTCCTGGATTCTTTTGTGTTGAGGAAATATTTCACTTGCAGATACCCAATTATCCTGTGAGATTTGTAAAGCAAGTCTGAAAGCTGACTGAATAGAGCAGAACCCTTCCTGCATAACAACTACGTTATACCCAATCATAACAATTAAACATAATTTGTGTTTACAGTGCCTGAAGATTAGACTCCTCCATTCAGACGTTCTCTTAAACAGGCCCAGAACATGCAGGGCAGAACTGCCACTTAGCATGCCCACAGGCAGCCTCGGGGCTCTGAGCACACCCCGTGGTCGGTCTCCCCCCGACTGGTGGTCAGTGGGTGGGGCGGGGTCCACTTGGACCTGCTTCTCAACTGGGGCCAAGCTTTGGCGAGGCCTCAGGGAGGGGGTGAGGGCAGCCCCCCAGTGTCTCCCCCTTCCCCACTGGGTTCTGCAGGGCCCTTGGCACCCTGAGTCCCATGCCCAGACAGTTTCTTACCCGCTCAGGTCCTGGGGTGTGTGGTGAGCGGCAGGGGCAGGGACCTGGCCTCTGCAGAGCCCTGGGCAGCGTGGTCTCCCGAGGGTTCCAGACGCTGCTCACGTTTGTGGATGTGGCGGGTCTGGTGCACCAGTCACCCCCAGGATCTGCCCCAGGGGGACAGGGTTGAGGCTGGCTCATCCTCTGACCTCTCACCCTCCACTCCCGCACTTGCTGGGCTCTGCTGACAGCCGAGCTCCCAGAGGCCTCCACTGGCTCTGACTGTCTGGGCGCAGCCTGGAGGTGGGCTCCCAGTCGCCACTGACCTGCTCTGGGCTCTCATCTTCCCTCCAGAACTTGCTCTTGGACTCCCCAGCTCAGGGAGGGAGCTTGTCTAGGGGACCAGCTGGTCGGTGCCTACCCCCAGACTCTGCCTCTCTTCCCCCACCCAGAGCCCACCCAGCCCTGCTCGTCTGCACACCAACCTGCCCCCATCTCCAGCCCCCAGGCCAGAGCCCAGCAGCCCCTGTTCTCCTTCCTCCGCACCACTCCCCAGGGTCAGGCTCGGGGCCCCGGGTGAGTCCCACACTGGGGCCCAGAGAGCTCTCATCCCTCCCTGGCTGTGCACCTAGCCCCGCCTGGTGGGGGAAGGATGTGACCACTGGACGAGGGAGTCGCAGGGACATGCCCCCTCCAGCCTGCAGAAACAGGGGGCCCCACCCCAGGCCGTCTCCCTACCGGTCCAGACCTGTCCTCCTGATGGGCCCGAAAGGCTGGCACTGAAAGTTGCCGGCTCCCCCAGCTATGCTCCCTCTCTGCGCTGACCTCTGTGCTTCGGTGGCCCGTGTCCTCCAGGCTACCAGCCGCTGACCCATGCTGCGGAGCTCAGGCCTTCCTGTGGGCGCGGCCGAGGGGGGCCTGGGCTGAGGATTTGCACGGGGACGTGTGTGCTCCGGTGACCCCACTCTGAGCCATCTTCCTTCGCCCGCAGCCTCTTCGAACACTACTGCTACTCCCGGGGCGGCATGCGCCATAGCTCCTACACCTGCATCTGCGGCAGGTAAGCAGCCACCTGGGCCACGGGGGGTGATGGAAAGAGGGGGTTGGGGGGGAGTGAGGGGACCCCACCATCCCCCAGCTTAGACGCACCTGTTTGCTCTCCTGCCCCTGGCACCTCATAAGCCTGGAAGTCACTCCCCACTCCTAAGGCTCTGGGAGTGGAGGTTGCTTCCTGCCCTCCCTGGGCAGTTCAGGGTGCAGAGGGGAGCCATCCCACCACTGCCTTGCCCTCCCATCCCATGTCCCGCTGGTGGCTTCTCCTGGGGCCAGCCTTCCTTGCCTCCTCCACACAGGCAGCTCCCAGCGTGTGGGGACCAGGCCATGACTCCAGACTGTGACGGCTTCTGTGTGCAGGGTGTATGGAAGGAGCTATATCGGGGCAGGAGGCTGTGGTTGTGTGTGTGTGCGTGTGTGTGGTTATGTGTGGCTGTGTGTGCATGCGTGTGTGTGGTTATGTGTGGCTATGTGTGCATGCGTGTGTGTGGCTGTGTGGGGAATAGCACAGCCACGGGTGGGTCTGGGGCTCTGCCATGGGGGATGTTACTGTAGTTCTGTGTGTATGTGACATGTGGCTGGGGGCAGGGGGTTCTGTGCGTGTGTGTGTGCGCATGTGTGTATGTGTGTGTGACCTGCACTTGGCTGGTGGGCTTGCAGGCCCGGGGTAGAAGTGACCGTGCATGTGGGGCAGCTCATAGCCGTGAGCGTGCAGGCCTGTGTGTCTTTGAGGGACACGCCCTGACTGGGGGGGCTCCCAGTCCCCCAGGCTCACCCCATCTCATCTCCCCGTGCTCTCGCCTTGGGTCAGAGGCTCAGGCCTCTGCCCCGCTGGGACGGAGCCGGAACCTCTGCTGGCACACATGTCCTTGGCACATGAATAATACATGTGAACATCTCAGTCCTTGGAAATGTTCTTCTCTGGTGGATAGAGAGAAAAATCATTATTTCTACTTTTATGATTCCTGAGACTCCTGAACGGGGCCATAAATATTATACCCAGGTGGGTTTTTTTTTTTTTCCTTTGGACAGACTAAAAAGTCCTTTTTTCTTAAAGGTATCGCTCATTAGGGAAGCGCTTTCAAGCTGAGGAGCGGGCAGCCGCTGGCTCCCTGGCTGCGGCCCTGGCCCAGCGCAGCCAATCTCCATGTAGCCCCGTCACAGTCCCGGCCCTTCCCACTGGGCCTCCCCTCCCCGTTTAGCCACCGGGACGCCCAGCTTCCTTGGGGTCCCTTCCCCTGGCCTGCAGGCCATGGCTCCCACATCAGGCCCACATCCTCAGCCCCAAAGGCACCTCCCTGAGCAGCCCAGAGGCCAGCCGCCAGCTCTGTGGCTGCAGGACGCCAGGGCCACCGTGCCCGTCATCCCACCTCAGGCTAGGGCTGGGCCCACTTGGCCCTGGGCGTATGCTGCAGGGTATGGCACTGCCCACGGGGCAGGGGGTTGGGGCGCCGGCCCCTGGGGCCCACTGGGTGAGAATGGGTTCTTGACCTCCCCCTGATGCTCCGCAGTGGTGAGAACTCAGCTGTGCTGCACTACGGACACGCCGGGGCCCCCAACGACAAGACCATCCAAGACGGAGACATGTGGTGAGTGGCCACATGTGGCCAGCCCCCAGCTGCCCTGGCTGGCGTGCGAATGGAGGGGCCCAGGTGGGACCCAACCCCAGGCGTGGCTGATGGGGGCTCCTCGGCCCCAGCCCAGGAAGGCTGGCCACAGCGCGGTCCCTGGGCCTGCTCTGGGTCTAGACTTCTCTGCCAAGGCTTTGTCCTCCATGTTTTCTCCTCTCCAGGACCAAGGATGCCCTCAGAGGGGAGCAGGGGCCAAGTGCTGTGAGGGTAAGGCCCCACCTCAGAGGAGGACCTGCCCTGTGACCCAGCACCCACCATGCTCGCGTCTCCAGTTTGGAGCAAGGGAGACCCCTCGGGAGTCCCCTGCCCTCTGAACCTGCCGGCTCTTGCCTCACGACTCCTCGGCATGAGCGGCCAGTCGTTCAGGAGGTCAGAGGGGGTGCTTGGCCCTCAGGACTGCTTGCCCATGTGCCACCGCTCCTCATGGATTCCTGACTGAGCATATGTGGGCAGGTCCCACAGCCTCCAACTCCCCAGTGTGTAGGGCTCCCACTGGGCGTACACCACTCCACTCTGAGCAGCCCCTCTAGCCTTGGCAGGGGCCATGGACACCTTACTGACCTGGAGCATCCCTGTCCTCAGCTCATGGGCACTTGTATTCCCCGCCTATACTCTCCACCACCCAGACGTTGAGCAGGGCCAGTCCAGGCCAGAGGCCGAGAGCCGCCCAGAGGCCACAAGTTCCACGGGGCCTCCTGTCTTGCCCTTGAGACATCTCGCTATGGCCACCAACCCGCAGGTGTGGGCCGGAGAGCACATTGGCCTCAGTTCAGTTCAGTCGCTCAGTCATGTCTGACTCTTTGCGACCCCATGAATCGCAGCACGCCAGGCCTCCCTGTCCATCACCAACTCCCAGACTTTACTCAAACTCAAGTCCATTGAGTAGGTGATACCATCCAACCATCTCATCCTCTGCCGTCCCCTTCTCCTCCCACCTTCAGTCTTTCCCAGCATCAAGGTCTTTTCCAATGAGTCAGTTCTTCGCATCAGGTAGCACATTGCCCTACCTTGTCCTTTGGTCCTTTCCCTCTTGTTGCTAAGGCAACTGAGCCCCTCTGCCCCACTTCCCACCAGCACCAGTTCATCCGGCACCTCATCCGCCTTCGTTCATATGTGCCATCCTGTGAGGCTTTGACCCCACGCTCATATTCTGGTCATGCCTGCACACTGGCCAGGACGCGGCCTCAGCCTGGGAGTTGGGGAACCTGCGCATGGGGGGCCCTCGCCCACAGCCATCAGGGTACCTGAGCCAAGAGAGAGCCCATTCCAAGCTGTCACTGCCCAGTGTTTTCAGAAACCCACCCAAGCCCAGGGTGCCCCCTGCCCCAGGGCGCCCCAGCACCACTGGCTGTGGTATCCACTCGCCCCGGGTCAGTAGCTGGATGGGATGTTCTGGCTCGGGACCCTCTTGGCAGGAGCCCAGCTCAGGCTTCTGGGAGGAAGCAAAGCCTCCAGGTTCTCTCTGAGCCTGAGTTTACTGTCTGTCGGTGGAGATGGCACGCAGCACTTGGCCCTGAGCGGGGTACTGGCGGGGACGTGTCAGGACCACAAGTGCTGGTGGACACACGGTCCCAGGGGCCTGGGCCCACAGGACAGGGACAGGGGCACGCAGAGGGGGACACCGGCGTGGTCACAGAGGTCACTGCAACCCCGCTCACTGCTCACTCCACCCCCGGAGAGTCTGAGGCCCTTCCTGGCGTGTGGGCCAAGGGTGTGCAGCAACCTGGATGGGGTTCTGGCCCTGCCTGACACAGGGTGCCGCTCATGATGCAGCTTCGCTCACTCTGATCCCATGAAGTGGGTGTCTCCCCCTCCCACCAGAACCCCCCCCCCCACATGTAGTGGAGCCACTGAGACCCACGGAGCGTCCGGGTGCAGAGCCAGAGGGATTTGGGGGAGGGGTCAGCTGCCTCCAAATTGACTCAGCTGGAGACTAAAGAAACAGGGGGGGCCTGCCCTCTGGGCCACAGCTGGGTCACTGGTGGCCCCAAAGGGAGACCAACTGGTGTCTTCAGGGACTCACGCCTCCTAGAACATGTCCTAACGCTTTTGACTCTGCAGCCTGCTCTGGCTGAGCCAGGACGTGGGAACCCAGTCCCCAGGCGGGCAGAGCCCGGGTCACACGAGCAGCCACAGCTGTCCCTGCGGAGGGTCCTGCGCCAGGGCCATGTGGCTCCGAGTCTGTCTTCTCTGTGAGTTCACACAGCCCGGAGGAAGTGGTTGCTTCTCCTCTCTCTGTGTCCCAAGAGAGTCCTCACCCATGACAGGCTTGTTGCAGCTGTGTTCTGGGGGCGCCTGGCACCCTGGGGTCTGGCTGACTAGGGACGCCATGCATCAGACCTCCACGCATCCAGATGCTGTGTCCCTGACCCTCCTGGGCAGCGTGTGGCACCCGAGTCTCCTGCTGCTTGAGAGTCAGGAGTGATCCAGAGAATCCCACAGATGTTGATGCCAAGCCCAAATGGGCGATTTTATTTTTCTAGTGCTAACTTTGAAATGTAGCCAGTAGAATAATTATGAGTTTATTATAGTCAATTTATTATGCAGCATTTAGAACAACATGTTTTGTTGATTACTGCTACTGCCAGATTGCTGGCAGCATTTATAATCCATTGTTTTATTGAAATTGATCTGCCGAGCGCCTACTGTGTTCAGTAAATAATAAATCACTCTGTTATCCCAACATAAAAGTCACAGCACTTCATCATAAGGTATGAAAACAAAATATGAGCCTGGTGTAGAATTTTTCTGAACCTGAGTGTCTCTCTCAGTGCGACTGTTCTCCAGGTGCCCGTCCTGTGGTTCGCTCTGGGTCTCAGTTCCTTGATGTAAGGTGAAAATGCCCCAGAGATCTTTAACATTTAGGAATGGGGCTGTTTGGGGGCCAGGAGCTGGTCCAGGGCAGTCAGACTCTGCTGGAGAAGGTGGGGAGTGGATGCCGAAGGCCATCCCTCTCCCTCCAGCCTCAGAAGTGTGGTGACGAGCATAGAAGGTCCCTGGCTCAAATCCCTGCCCCACCCCCCCGCCCAGCTGAGTGATCACCCCTCTGAGCCTGTTTCTCCATCCATCTTTGTGGGTGAGAGCACCCAGCTCCGGGAGGACTCACTGATCGTAAGGCTGAGCATGGAGCCTGCACAGGGGGCCCCTGGTGCAATTGCTGCTACACACCAGAATTCCCAGAGCCAGCAGCGCACCTGTGCCCCCGAGACCCACCTCCCAGCAGCGCTTCCGGACAGATCCTGGAGGCAAGAGGCCTCAGCGCAGCGCAAGACAGAGCCAGTTTGTTCACACAACTCTCAGGTCATGTGGTTGCCTGCTGTCTGTTTTCAGCCCTAAACTGTCCTCGAGGCGTGCGCCGGGTGGGGCGTGTAGCTGGCCAAGCGCCGCATTGCACTCCTCTGTCCTTCCAATACCAGGTGCTGCCTGGGAGCTGGGCCCGGAAATCGGGGCCTGTTTATCCGATGCACTGGTTCTTACTCCATGTCAGACGCATCACCCAAGAGCTGAGAAGGGGGTTGAGGACCACTCCTCACACCACACCAGCCCCGCCCACCCCCGTTTATCTCAGCCGGATGCTGCCAGACTTGCTCTGCCTAGATCCGAGGGTGTGGGGGGATGAGGACTGGACTTCGATGTGGCCTCGGGTCCCCGCGGACCTCCCTCTCGGCTGGTTTGGAGGCGCACAGCCTCTTGTGGGGCCACCCAGGGCTTTGCTGTCGCCTCTGAGAGCCCTTTTCCTGCTGTGGCCCTCAGGGCTCTCCATGCACCCCATCACTAAGTCGCTCTCCTCTTAAGCCATTAGTTGCTTTCTGTTTTTGTTTTAAGACAAAAGCAAGCAGACCTTCTAAAACACGGTCTCAGAAGTGTGGTGCACTTCTGATGAATACCCTTCCCAAGCTCACACAGCGGACCGTGTCTGAAGCCATCAGAAGTCTTCCTGGGTGGGAGCCCCGGGAGACCCCTCCCCAGCAGATCAGCCCTGAGCCTGTGGCGGTGAGGTCATTGTCCTCACCGTCCTCATCGTCCGCCGTCGTCATCTGAGCCCTCAAGCGCTGGCCCGTCTCCCAGAGCCCGCCTGGGCTTTCCCCCAGAGTCTCCATGGTGGGTAGAGGCACCCAGGGCTAGGGCCCTGCCCATGGGCCAGGGAGCGCCATTGTCCCCAAGGCAGCCATGTACCCAGACTTAGGCCCTCTTTTGTGCTAGACTCCCCGCCTCCCCCTGGGCGCAGCAGGCACACCTCAGAGGGCAGAGCTGGGGAGGGTCCAGGGTCTGCCTCCACTGGGCTCTGATTTGGAGAACAGCTGGGGCAACCCCTCCTCACCTGCCACCGCCTCCCTCTCCCACCATTTGATTCGGTAGCAGGGGGGTGGTTCCTGGGGTAGGGAGCCCAGTGGCCGCCCTCAGAACCTTCTAGATGCCCCAGTCAAAGCATGCTCGGGCCTGGGTTGCCCAGCTGCAAGCAGGATGTGGCTGGTGGGTGGCAAGCCGGGCCTCCCAGCACTGGCCAGAAGAGGGCAGCGTTGTTTCAGGACATGCCAGCCGGCCAGGCTCATCCCTGCTGGCTGTGTTCTCTGTGTTCTGGGGCCTGGGAGCGGGTGGCTGGCCTGGTTAGTGGGGGAGAGGCTTGTCCCAACCCCACTCAGCAGCCACTCAGCGTGCTAAGTCGCTTCAAACGTGTCCGACTCTTTGCGACCCCATGGACTGTAGCCCGCCAGGCTCCTCTGTCTATGGGCTTCTCCAGGCAAGAATACTGTAGTGGGTTGTCTGCCCTGCTCTCCAGTTAGTTCCCTGATCATTCCACAGGTTTGATGTGGACTGGACATTAGTTTAAACTGCTTGGGGGAGCTCCCCGCTCCTTACCTCCATCACACCGTGCCTGGGGCTATAGCCTGCATCTTCGTCACAGACATCCGCCCCCACCTCCACAGGCTTTGGGTGCCTGCTGCTCACTCGGGGCC